GTGATCGAGACATGAGCGAGCAGGCTCATTTCTCTGAAATCCCAAGATAAATAAACAGGCCGTTTGCATGATGGTATCACTTACTACCACTATAAGTTGAGAATAGTAAGACGACTGTTGCTAAGTAACTAAAACGAAGGAGTGTGCAGGGATTATGGGTAAGGTAGTGAATGACGTCACTCGGACAAGTCAACATCAGGTGTATATCTTTAAATAAACCTAAATAAACATCTGTTTGATGGATGTAACTGAAAGCGTTACCAAAATGTCATGCTCCATAATTTATTAAATATAGAGATAATTGAAAAAAATCACTTTTCCCCATTCTTCACTTACCTTATATTTTTCATTATAACTGTTCTTTCCTGCGAAACAAGAAAACGAAAAAGAGTTAAAATCTTTTGGGTGGTAATCGGACTAATTAGTAAATCAAAAGCACGCATTGTGGAAAACTGATTGGGACACATGCAATGATACAAGACAAAATTATCTGAGTTTTCCTTGCGTTGACTTTCTTAAGTACCGTTGTCTCACCTTGTCCGGCAGCACTTTCTTTCATCTGAGTATTATTTATTGTAAGGGGATTCATAAAATGAAGATAAACCACCGATTCCTCCTGAAATTCAGCACAGGGCATAAAGATTAATAGTCGAAGACGTTATATTAAGGTTAGTAAATTTTATTCTTACATATTTCTATATAAATTACGATTAAAAATCACCATACATTATCTCTAGAAGTACAGAGCTTAGGCTTCCTGTGGTAAGACGACTGCTTCTAAGTAGCCTGCGCAGCGGCTCTTGGGAGGGGGAATGGGGATGAGGGAAGGGGAGGGGGAATGGGGATAAGGGAAGCTGAGGGGGAATGGGGATGACGGAAGGAAAGAGGGAATGGGGATGAGGGAAGCGGAGGGGGATTGGGGAGGAGGAAGGGAGAATTACTGCTGCTAAGTAACTAGACAAAACAAACGTACAGGTATTGTGGTTAAGGTAGTAAATGACGTCACTCGGACAAGTCATAATCAGGTGTATGCGTTTAAATATAACTAAATAAACATTTACTTGATGGAATTAATTGAAGAGGTTACCGAAACGACATGCTCCATATTTTATCAAATATAGAGACCATTCGAACAATTACGGCTCATTCACCTTATATTTTCCATCATAACTTCTCTTTCCTACGAAACAAGACACCAACTCAACGTTAGACCTTTTGGGTGCAAATCTTTAAATGATTTGTTCATTAGTAAATCTACTTCAACATAAGTACTAACGATATTAGTGAGAGCGCAGAGTGAACGATACTGGTCCTAATTAATTTGAATTTGCTCGGGTAACGCAAGGAATAAATATAAATTGAGAAACTGCTCGCCTGGCTGTACGAAATACTGTATCATACATCACGTTTGGGACTCAAATCGGTTTTTAAGATTTTTTTTCTTTTTGCAGCAAAAAGATTGGGAAAAAATACTACTGTTTTTATCTAGAATAAGTCAAAAGATGACTCCCCCCAAAGACTCGAGRTCTTATAAGCTGCCGTCATGTGTTTGAACTGAACAACAGAACATGTAAATTAAATTTGTTTAGAGAGTGTAATATAATCATCTAGTTTACGGAACGTCAGTTGGCAAGTGAAGAAATTCTTAGTAGAATTAGTGAAAAACAACAACCGAAGACAATACCAGGTGTTAGTGAAATTGAGAGCAACGATGAAAACGTGGTGATGTATCTGATCATACTTTATAATTAAAAACACTTGGAACCTCTTAACACTACTTTGATAGACAGACCTACACACTTCACTTTAGAAAGATAGTCGATAATCGAATCAATGCATGGTACTCATTCTAAAATCCTCATTTCCTCGATTTAATTTGGAAGAAGATACACAGAACCACTCAGTCTGAATTTCTTTATTACTATGGAATTTTCATTTAAAAAATTATAACTTAACAAAAGAATATAAGAACGCATGGGGAAAATTACTTGATAGAGACACAACACTAGTAGACGCAAGGTCAAAATTACCGTAGGAAAAACAGCAATAGGAAACAAAGGGAAAATAATAGGAAAAATAAGTTAAAAGATAGAGCTTCAGAAAATCCCGCAAAGGTGACAAGAYCTGATATGAAAAACTAAAAGAAGCTCGATTATTTTCCTTTTTTTGTTCGCAGTATAAAAATTTATTTATRAACTTTCTTTCCCTTTAAGAATTATTTTGTGATTTATACATACAATAAAAGACGAAGCATCAAACTATGTAAAATGTAATTCATACTATATATGTTTGAATCTGAAGCAAGTGATGATAAGAATAATACTCGTAGAAATTTTTACATGTTACCTTGTTGGTGTTGTTGGCCAGCGACACTGAAAATGTCATCTCAGAGATGATCAACATGGCGAAAAAGAAACGAATCATCTTCACGTCCAGTCAGCAAGTGTTTTGGTACTCGAAAATAATCTTGGAAGCTGAATGCCCTTCRATCTTCTTGAGCACACTCAATAGTAGATGAAGACCAAAATAAACTCAAAACCGACGAACAAGTTCTAACAAGAATGAAAACATGACAATGACATTACATCATTTGAATCTGTATATTAATCACATCAGTCATTGCGTAGAAGGAAACCGAAGAGGTCTGGGTAGAATACAAAACTAAAGTAGTCCTTTTGAACATTCAGACATCAAAATCATAAAAAGGCAAATATCGATATCAATATCTTCAGACAAAAATTTAAGAATAACAAGACACACCAATTTTCTGATGTCTAGAAAAGTCCCAATTTAATTTTATTGGATTACCCACATTATTCTCTATGATCAACTGAGCCCCTTTACTAAATCTAAGATCAGTACTATCTTAGTTAAATAATATCATGACAAGAAAGCAAAGATTCTGTATGTCTTTTAGTTTTTAAATCAAATAGTTTCATCTAGAAATCTGACAAGCATGTATTACATTCAGATTGTCGTGCATACGACGCTGCTACATCAATCAAACAGTTCAGTTTTAATTYCGCTTTTCCATTTTCTTGCCGTTTTCATTCATAAAGAAGCGAGGAACGATTACAGGTAGGCACCGAACCACATGTTGGTAGTCGAAGAAGAATACGATGAGCACTTGAACTGTTTGTTAACATTCTTGTAAAAGCCAAAGTTATCTTCACTGKGCACGTAACCTGGGGATGCACCAAACGAACAATGACTTGCGCTGCTGTCATGATGGAGGATCTCCTTATTGGCTAMCTGCCAGAATGCAGCGGTGAYCTCAATACCCACGTGACCGCGAACGTTAATGWACTCGACTTTCTTACACACGCCTGCACCAATGAAAGTCAAAGGGTTCAGGTCAGCAAAGCGAACGCGAAGGTAGTCACCATAGTCTACCCAAGCTCCTCCATTGCAGTTGACGCGCCAATGGGTGGAATGGGACTTGATGTTGGTCATCTGGTCAAGCGTCATACGGTACATGTAGTAGTTGGGGGACTTGTCGTTGACTGGAAGGCTCATGTTCAAGGGTTTCTGGAAGGGGGCGATGTTATCTTTATTGCTATATTGCAATTTATAGGACATCACTAGTGTCCAGGCAGAGCCAGGTTCAGAACTCATGTCACAGAACACCTCTTGTGGACCTTTTGGAGTCATGATGGTGAAGACCTTGGMTSCAGWTTCTCCTTTCTTTAGGTGATCGAGACAAGAACGAGCAGGCTCATTTCTCTAAAATTAAAATAATCACTAGTAAATGGATGTCTACCGACAATAACTTAGAATATCTTCAAGGGTGATCTCGATATCTTACTTACCTTGTATGTTTCTTCATAGCTGCGCTTTCCTGTGAATCGAAAACCAAACTCAACTTAGAAATGCTTGCGGACTACGGATTTGGAACTTTTAATTTTCCTAAATCTATATGAAGTAACAGATTAAAACTGGCGAGAGCGCAGAGAGGAAGAGAGAGAAAAATAAATAAGGGTCCTGATGGATTTCCATTAAGAGATTGYATTCGTTAAAAGAGCAATTGCGTTCTAGAGAATGATTAAACTATACAGATGCAATGTCTAGACTCGTCATTCAAAGAACTCAAATGAACTTGCAGAGATGAGTTACACCGCCGCCTTATACGGTCTTCATTTCCAAACTTTCAAATCTGATGATAATTTTGAGTTGAGGCTTGGCAATGAAAATTAAGCAGTGAGGAAAATAATTAGTGCGGAGTTACTTCGATCCCAGTCTCTCTTTTTCTTAACGAGTTCTGTATGTATGTTTAAGATGCTCACCTTGTCYRATATCCGAAAGGTAGTCCTTCATCTTAATGCCTTTCCCTTCGTCAATATTCTGTAAATATAGAAATGGTTACCAATGGAATATTACATGGAGTGCATGATTCATCCGCAACCCAAATTTCCGTCATGCACGCACTAGGAAAGTTTAAAATGCTACACGTTTTGAAATGTTACCCTGTTTGCCAGCGACACTGGAAATGTTATCTCAGAAACCATCAGCAAAGCAAGAAAAAGGCCAGTCATCTTAATCCACTTTAGCAAACTAGGATTCCAGTTCTTGAAAAAAGTTTGGGTCCTAATAGAAATCTTCTCGAGCACGAGTACCCGTAGCAGATGAAGGTCAGAATGACTTTCAAAGGCTGAAGAACAGGATTTAACGACAGGGAAAAGAAGAACGTGTTTGAACAAGTAAATGCCTGTTATTGCCAATAAGGTCTGATCTAAGATGCACATTACATCATTCAAAAGAATTAGTTTAATAATAATTTAATTATGATCATAATTCAATAATTTGGTGAGTAATTAAGGAATAACACATGCAAATAAAAGTGGTCTGGGTAGGACACTAAAAGACCATTTCCATGCAATGACATTTGCCTTTTTGTTTTCTTTTCCTTTCCCCTCCCCCCTGTTTTTTCGGCAGTGGGAGGGTTGCTAGCGCTTGAAAGGAAGGTTGTGATCTAAAGATTCTCAGACGCATACCGTGAGCAAGTAAGTTTGTGAAAATGATCCACCAAAACAGCGTTTATGGCTTAAGAATCTCTCATGCTTTATACGTTAAAATCGGCCATATCATGTTAGTAAGTCATTACAGGGAGTACGACTGTTACATGTCATTTCATCTAGAGCATCCAATACTTTTTAAACAATCAAAACGGGTTTTTTCAAAAATCTTATCGTGATTTGTCGTTTGTTATTATTTGCTATGTAGCATTTCTCTAGCGTTGCAAGCGATCGACCTTCTGTTAGAAATAATTGAGAAATGTTTCGAGTGCATACTTTACTCTCGATCAACCTCTTACTCAAATCCTTAAGTGGTATTGTGATTAATACAAAGATAAAAATAAACTTTTGTATGCTGCTTAGATTTATTTGAATTAGTTTTTTCTCGAGATCTGACAAACATGTTTTACATTCAGATTGTCATAAGACACATTTCATCGATCAATCAATTCAGTTTTAATTTCACTTTTCCATTTCCTTGTTGTTTTTATTAATAAGGAAGCGAGGAACTATTACAGGTAGGCACCGAACCACATGTTGGTAGTCGAAGAAAAACCCCCTGAGCACCTGAACTTTTTGTTAATATTCTTGTAAAAGCCAAAGTTGTCTTCACTGGGCGCGTAACCTTGGGATGGACCAAACGAACAATGACTTGCACTGCTGTCATGATGGAGGATCTCCTTATTGGCTATCTGCCAGAATGCAGCGGTGACCTCAATACCCACGTGACCGCGAACGTTAATGAACTCAACTTTCTTACACACGCCTCCGCCAATAAACGTCAGGGGATCCAAGTCAGCAAAGCGAACGCGGAGGTAATCATTATAGTCTACCCAAGCTGAATTGCAGGTAACGCGCCAATGGGTGGAATGGGACTTGATGTTGGTCATCTGGTCAAGTGTCATACGGTACATGTTGTAGTTGGGGCTTTTTACGTTGACTGGAAGGTTCAGGTTCAAGGGTTTCTGGAAGGGGGCGATGTTACTTTTATTGCTATATTGCAATTGATAGGACATCACTAGTGTCCAGGCAGAGCCAGCTTCAGACCTCAGGTCACAGAACACCTCTTGTGGACCCTTTGGAGTTATAATCGTGAAGACCTTGGCTCCAGATTCTCCTTTCTTTAGGTGATCGAGACATGAACGAGCAGGCTCATTTCTCTGGAATTAAAAAAAGCTTAATAAATTGATGTCTACATCTAACATCTTCAAGTGCGACCTTGATTCCTTACTTGCCTTGTATGTTTCTTCATAACTGCGCTTTCCTGTGAATCAAGAACCAACTCAACGTTAGAAATGTTCGACTATCGATTTGGAACTTTTAATTTTCCTGCATCTATTTGAAGTAACAGATTTATATTGGTGAGAGAACGCAGAGAGTAAGAGAAAACTAAAAGGGTCCTGATATTGGATTTCAATTAAAAGATTGGCAAAAAAAAGCAATTGAGTTTTAGAGAATGATCAAACTGTAAGTGACGTAAGGTCTAGACTCGTCATCCAGAAACGAGCCATTAAACCGCAGCCTAATTTACACACTTTGCATTTCCCCATGTGGTTTCAAGTGCCATAAGTTTCCAACAAATAAAGATACTGACAGTTCTTAATGAAGACTGAAAGTGTTGGATATCATCGATCCAACGGCAGACATACTTTTATTAAAAGGCCTATGTATATATATTCCCAAATGATAGACGGAAGTGAGAGTTTCGGAAAGGTTTTCTTAGCCTTCAGTTGTCATCACTTAATGTGTTTGTTACAATTCCTTTGTAATGGGTTACGGTATTAGTTTTTAGATTTTTAAATCGTATCTAATTTTGAGTTGAGGCTCAAAAATTAAACAATGAGGAACTTAGTGCGGAGTAACTTCGATCCCAACCTTTGTTTTTCTTAACGAGTTCTGTGTGTATGTTTAAGATGCTCACCTTGTCTGATATCCGAAAGGTAGTCCTTCATCTTAATGCCTTTCCCTTCGTCAATATTCTGTAAATATAGAAATGGTTACCWATGGAGTATTACATGGAGTGCATGATTCATCAAAAACCCAAACGTCCGTCATGCACGCCCTAGGCAAGTTTAAAATGCTACAAGTTTTAAACGTACCTTATTTGCCAGCGACATTGGAAATGCCATCTCAGAAACCATCAGCAAAGCAAGAAAGAGGCCAGTCATTTTAATTCAAATCAGCAAACTAGGATTCCAGTTCTTGGAAAATTAAAGGTTTGAGTCTTAACAGAAACCGAACTTACCCGTAGCAGATTAAGGTCGAGATGACTTCAAAACAAGGCTGAAGAACGGGATTTATCAAGAAAAACAAAGAACGTGTTTGAACAAGAAACAGTCTGTTATGGCCAATAGGATCTGATCTAGGGCGTTGATCCAAAGGAAAGTGGTCTGAGTAGGGCACTAAAACCATTTCTATGCAAAGACTTTTGCCTTCTTTCCTTTCCCCTCCCCCCTGATTTTCGGTAGCGGGAGGGTTGCTAGCGCTTACGAAGGAAGGTGCCGATCTAAAGATCCTCAGACGCATATGATCAACTGAAACAGCGTTATCGCTTAAAAAACCTTTCATGTTTTATGCGTTTGTAGATACAGACTATGGTATTTGGATATCATTTTGGTAAGTCAGTTTAGGGAGTACGACATCAAAACAGGGTTTTTACAAAAATTTTATCGTGATTTATCGTTTGTTTTAATTTGCTATCTAGCATTTCTCTAGCGTTGCAAGCGATCGACTTTCTGATAGAATAATTTGAGAAATGACTCAGTCGAGTACGTACTTTACTCTCGATTAACCCCTTACTCAAATCCTCAAGTGGTATTGTGATTAATACAAAGATAAAACATAAACTTTTGTATGATGCTGCTTAGTTTTTAATTGAAGTAGTTTCATCTAGAGATCTGACAAACGTTTAACATTCAGATTGTCGTACAACAGACTACATCGATCGATCAATTCAGTTCTAATTTTGCTTTTCTATTCTTTGTTGTTTTCAATCATAAGGAGGCGAAGCAAGATTACAGGTAGGCACCGAACCACATGTTGGATGTTACAGTCTTATACGACGAGCATTTAAACTGTTTGTTAATATTCTTGTAAAAGCCAAAGTTGTCTTCACTGGGCACGTAASCTGGGGATGCACCAAATGAACAATGACTTGCGCTGCTGTCATGATGGAGGATCTCCTTATTGGCTAACTGCCAGAATGCAGCGGTGACCTCAATACCCA